TAACTTGTTGTTAAACAAATGTTTAAACAACTCTACTTATTCAATTAAGAATACTAGTGTAAGGATTACTCAAATCAAAAGTTTTTATTGTTCAACAGACTTCCTAATTTACAAATTATCTTTGTTTTTACATTTTTTGCACATCAAAGTATGATTTGTATATTACAACGTCGTTCAACGGGCAATAAACGAATAATGTTTGAAGCTTCCATACACTTGTGTCGTTTATCATTACACTTGAATGCACAAAAACGAACATTTTGAACTTGTAATAAGTAGTTGAATATGACTTATAGACAAATATTGTTGATCATATTTATTGTTGAACTAAAATCGCAAGTTGAAATGATTTCACTTGTGATAAAGAAAAATGAAGCTGGAAACCTGCATGTGACTTTCTGATGTAGTTATAGGCACTTGTATAGTTTAAAAATAATTTTCCTTGCAAATTTAATTGTTCATAACTTGCCTTAATTAAAGGGGATACTTATTGCATTTCTGAATGTTCCTGCTATTATGTATAGGACTGATCCTAATATTTTTAATTTTGCTTTAAAATATAAAACAATGAATGTTATTAAAAAGCAACTACATATAAAAATGCATTTTTTATTTTCTCAGCTACTGCTAGATGGCCAGCAAATGTTAATTAGAAGGTATATCAGAGGTGTAGGAAGCAAGTTAAAAGTTGAGAGCAAGGTTTATTTGACCGAGCGAAGCGAAGGGATGTGCGCCTCAGGCGCACCCATTCAATTACTGCTAGGGGCCCAGGGCTCGCCTTAGGGACCTGAAAACTCTTAGGCTCTGGATTAAATATTATGCATTCTCTTGTTTTTTTCTGTGAGTAATTTTTCTAACTTTGATGCATTTTTAGTGGGATGGATTGAAAAGTGCTCCCCCTCATTTCCTACGCCACTGATTATAATTGTTTCAATGAGGTGCACAACCAGGATTTCTTTTTAAGGGTGAAACTTACTTACAGTACACTTGTTTATCAGTTGATAAATGTCTTCCATGCACATTATAATTATTACTGAGCGAATAACAAAAAATTAGTGTATTTCTCATTGTTTTAAAGTAGTTCAGATCAGAAATCAGTTTTCAGTTTTCTAAATATTACTTTTCCCAGGATATATTTTTTGCATAAATTTTAAAGGTTTCTGGCTAAGGGGAGGGCTGGGGGGTTCGAGCACTCCAAATTCGTTGCGTACATGGTTTCAGTTAATTTAAACAATATCTTAAAAAATAGGACGGGAGTACAATTGTATTTACAAGTTGCAACAATCAGTTAAAAAGTTTCATGCCAACGTTCGAATCTTTTGTTGTTCAGACTCCACTTGATATCAGTATTAGATACATAAACAAAGATCATGTGCTTTGGAAATCCGTGATATTCCATAACTAGTAAAAAACTTATATAATTCCTTCATTAGCAGAACTGATAGATCCCATTTACCATACAGTACGGAAACCTGCGAAACAGTTCAGATCTTAGAAGCAGTGTTATAGCTGGAACTGCTATAAATGCCATTCTTGCATATATAGT